AATAAATATATTTTCTTTATTAATATACAAACTTCAGATCTTACCCCATGTAAATCAGAAAAAGACTTGGGCTTACATGAAAGTTACAAATAAGTCATACCAGAGTGTTTTATCACAGAAAATGATGATCAGGTAATTCACCTGGAATTCTCTTTGATGAAAACTAAGGCATAACTGCAGGAATAAATATATTTTCTTTATTAAGATAAAAACTTCAGATCTTACCCCGTGTAAATCAGAAAAAGACTTGGGCTTACATGAAAGTTACAAATAAGCCATGCAACAACTGTTAGTTTAGATGGTATTAAAATACAAAGTAAATGGAAATTTGGTACTCTCTCTTTAGCTAAGAAGTATTTTGTTCTATGAGTCATCCTTTTAATACCATCATCAGTAAAAGTATTAGAAGCTGGATGATAAGAAAGGCACAGCAGATATAAATAACAATCCCTTCATATCTTTTTCAGCAGCCAAGCAGACTGGAATAATAGAAATATACTTGCTGGTATTTAAGATTTTTTAAATTCAAATTTGTTACAATTGATACATTGGAAAAGGTGACCTTTACATTACTGTTACTATCTATAATATTCACACATTATTCATACACCCAAAACTGAATTATGCACCCTGCAATGTGCATGGATAGGCAGGTCCCTGCCCAGAAAATTTATTCTCTAGATCAAGACTTGACAGTGGTGCAATTAAAACTGAGAGAAAAGAAAACAATAAATAAAATAACCAACCCTGAACAATAACTTGCCTGAATTATCCCTATTAGGCCTTTTTTGAATTGTAAGATATTATATGCACTGTACCTCATCATGTAAGGTGATTACAGATGTTGCTAAAGAGAGATTTGAGGAGAGAATGCACAAGGCTGTGTTTTAACTGCAGAAAGAACCTTCTTCCACATCTGGCCACTTCATCCCTCACAAAACCACATTCATTGATAAAACTTCAGGACAGAAGTAATTTTCCTTGCTGGTTTTAGTAATGGAGAGCAAAATACTAATGTCCATCTTGTCCAGCCTGATGGAATAAGCAATCATTTTCCCATGCTGGCATATAAGAGAAAAACAGAAGTCAGCCAAGAACAGAGATGAAGGTAGGAATGTCATCTATGAAAAGAAGAGGATCGTGGAGAAGGCAAACACAAAATGCCTTGCTCATTTCCTTCCACCTTCCACCCTAGTAACAGGGGACATGAAATGGAGCTGGCACTGCACAGCTGAAGAGAAAGGAAAGGAGATGATTCTCCTCACAGCTGCAGGATTCCAAAGTGCTCGATGCAGGATGCTGGGTGTGCTAGAGCTGTGCATGAGCTCAGGGACAGCGTGGACAAACTCATGGATGAGAAACCCTCAGGCACTTCTAAGGGATGGAGAGTCAGCATTTTGTTTCTTGCTGCTCCCTACCCAGTCCCAGATAACACCGAAGCAGTTAACCCCATTAAAGTGCAAAGATTTCTAGAAGCCAACACAAGTGCTGACGTCTGACAATGCTGCTGAGCTGTGAGCTTTCCTGGTATTAGCAAACTAGCATAGAAAACCCATTTCATGCCTGTCAGCTGGAGCAAATCCTCTGAGTAATTTGTTACATGTATGAGGATACCTTGCTCTCCCAGTAACCTTGCCTCAAACACCAGAGGAGAGCTGTGGTGTCTCACTGGCTGCTGAAAGGCAGCAAGAACATCACTAAATAATCACTTCATGTGTTCTGAGAAAAGCCCGGGTAAGTTAAACTTCATTTGATGCTCAATATTGGCTGGAATTGATCTGTAAAAATTGCATAGCACACATTTACTCCCATCGTAGGATGTGAGACAGCGATGTCCTCATCTTAGGTAAAATCAAAAACCCTTTAATATTTTGTTGTTTTAATTTTAACTTGGCAAAGTCACTGAATCTTGTAAGTGATCTGAAATCTGCACCACCAGATTACAGTTGAGTCCATGTTGCAGCAGAGGGTTCAGGCATGGTTTGGGACTATCATACCAGGTTTGAGAAAGGCTTCTTGATCTAATGAGTTATTCACATTCCTTGATCTCCCCTGAGAACATAGGCACCAAAATATAATGCATAGGTAAAATCTATTAATTCAAATTATTCAAGAATAATTTATTGAGTCAACTAAATTCTAACTAAATTAGAAGTTCAAGTGACCTGTTCGTGCAGTAAACTTTCCTTCTGAAATGTGAAGAAATGTTGAGGATAGAATGAAATGAGGGTTTGGTCCAATAAAATATATAACAGAATTAAATAAGAAGGTAAGATTAAATACTAATTTTCTGTGGAGCCCTTGAATTCTAATAAATCAATCTTTCTTTGTCTATGAATTCTTAATGCTATAAAAAAACAAGCATTAAATACCTCTAAATGGGGTGCTTTATCAAAGATCTGACCATACCACACATCACAGTTCTGAGTTCTGTTCACTGTCTCTGAAGCCAGTTTTGTCCAGGATGACCTGGGATAACTTGGAAGCAGATTTTTTTGTGTGTGCATCTTTTAAACAATTCTTCATTTTTGTTTACTTAATTTCTATGGGTGACTGGCTAACAGGTCAATTTGCAACCCAACAACAGACTTTAATGATGTGAGCAGAAGATAACTCAGTTTTAATGTGAGTAATTCCACACTTTATTGGACTAACTTAGTCTTGAAGAAATGAATAGGAACTCCCTGAACTCCATACTAGCCTTGATTCTTAATTTTCTCTTAGGGACACAGAGTTGGAACCTGTATTTGCTTCTACAATATACAGCTGAAGAAATCAACCTTTCAAGGTTAGCTTTATTAAAAGAAAAAAAAAAGGGAAAAAAAGGAAAACCTTGAAAATGCTTTTGTACTTAGCATTTGTAGCACTTTAACCCAGTTCATATTTGTGTGTGCTAGATATGGAATAACTCATCAGTCAGTGGAAAGGATTATACCAAAAGGGAGTCTCCCCTTCCTGTACACCCTTGTCTTTGGAGGTGTCAGTAGTCACCCTTTTGCTTAAAGGGTTTAACATTAAAATGTGGAGATGCAGGTTTCTCATTTGTACCTACACAGAATTATAGAATCATTTAGGTTGGAGAAGCCCCACATACACCTGCAGCAACAAAGATTTCTAGGAAAGTCAGAAACGTGAACATAATAGTATAACAACAATATAGTACTATGTGAAATGACATCATTATCAAAACACTAAAAAATAAAATTACTGCAATTAATATAATTTAATTATGAAGATTCATGGTGATTGAATGTGGTGACAATCTGCCCCAGGAACTATTCTCCTCTCTTTAAAAGCATTTCTGTCACCTTTTCAAAGAAAAGTCAGGTAATTCATCTGGTAGCAAAATTAGAGATAAGAGATCTACAAGATGAACAAATAACAAGTGACAGACTAAGCTATTTAATTTTTTTACCATTTTTCATACTTCTTTCTGCATTTTATCAAGTGACAGTTTGAACCTGGCAAACATATGCTAGCACATCCTAAAACACCTTGTTTGCGTCTTCATGCTGCAACAGTAGACTCAGATATCAAACACAAATTTGAAAATTTTGCCTAAGACTGTAAGATATTAAGGACAGGGATCAGTTCCAGGAAGGATAGTTTTGCTATCAAACCTGTGGGATGGAATACAAAGGATGGAGGCTCTGCCACTGCCATTGGTGCGATGTCAAGTCACAATCTCAACTCAGCCTTGCACCAAGATGAGCGGCCCCGCTGATCCTGAGAGGCCCCGTGTTTGTTCAGTGTTTACACCACACTTCCCAGCAATTTTTAGCTTGAAAAATAATAACCAATGGAGGACAATAACAGCCTGTTTGAAACTTTGCATTAAGTGGGTGGAGTCACGCAGCAACTGGTCAGACCTGGTTGGTGTTATCTGGGATGAAGGCTGACAGAGGGAGATCTCTTTTGGCATTACCCAACACAGCCACAGATGCAGCTGGGAATCCAAGCATTGTGGAGCAGCAGAGGGTGAGCATCCCTCTGCCACGTGCCCTTGGAGGGCAGGCACAGAGCTGTCCTGCTTCTCTCCAGGCTCCTCAAAGAGCTTCTGCAAGGTTTGCCACGAGCAACTGAGAGGTTGACCCTGAGGACCTTGCCAAGGTAAAATGGGATGCACTGGAGCCAAGAACACCTAAGGAGCTGAAATAAGGATCATGGTGATGAGGGGTAAGGTATTTGGTGAGTGGCTGGAGGAGAGAAGATGGAAGCAGGACTTGGTTTCACAGGGATGAACTCTTTGCTCCTTACCGTGTGTTATAGATTTCAGGGGATGCAGGGCTCTGCCTGTGCAGCCCTGGTTGGATGATCTGGTCATGACATTAGATTTTATAAGAATTATCTATTTTCCTTTGAAGATATGTTGTTCATGGTAGTAGTGAGACTGTACTTTCCCTGCTTCAGCTTGGAGTAAATGACGGGTTCCATTTACCCCTGAGCTTACCTATCAGCTGGTGATTAAGTGATCAGGCAGATGAGGGCTGATAAGCATCCATGGCTGATAACAGTGATCAAAATGAGTTTTCAGTACCATCTGTATGATTTATAAGCACAAATTAAGTTTGTTCTTGGTTTGTTGTTTTTGTTTTTTTTAATGCAATCATTGATGGCAGTTCTGTGAGTAACAGATTTCTATGAAATCTTAGGATAAATTTCAGGCAGTAATGTGAGAATCCTGTAAGAATTTAATTTTCATGCTCATAAACTGAAGCTCTACAGAGAAAGTTTCTTTTTGTCAAGGACAAAAAGATGATCTTTAAGGATTCCTAAAGGATACCCTGATCATGCAAAATCTCAATGGCAAACAGAAATAATCCCAAAGCTATTTTTTTGAAACCTTACTATTTTTGAAGAAAATATGCTTTTTTTGGATCTAACTCAGTAAATGACTGAAGCACTGAGTTTTGAGGGGTTTTAATGGGTTAAAGGAATCCTTAGGTGAATTCCAGGTTCTAAGTTTAATTATGTTTGAATTGTGTTCTTATTCACTTCAGATGCTTGCAGTATGGATCACTACTCTTTTTCTTCTCAATGCAGCCAAAGGTGAGACATATAATGAATAAAGTCTATAAGGAGTACAAATGATGCACAGCTTACACCAGGATATCTATATTCTAGAAAAAGCCTGTTCATTGGAATGGATTTAACATAATTCTTCATTAGGACCACTGAGTCATGTCATGTCTTTTCAATATTTAACCCATTACTTTTTAATCCTGTAAAGGTTTTTGCAGCAAGCAAGAAGAATGGAAATCAGAAAGGTATTTTTATATGCAAATTGATACTGAAATTCTTCCAGAACATTTCCTACCCTCAACTCACTCGTGGTAGCTACAACCCTAGGCACCTACTCTTCACAGTCCTATGCAGAGAAAATTGTTTTGGTCCAAAATACTTCTTTAATGACAGGAAAGAATGGACTTTTTAATAGCAATAAAAGTTTCTTGGGATTTCACAACTGTTGTGCTATAACAGTGTGGAAGGATGACAATTAATGGCAACACCCGCATGTCATATTTGCACCATCACTGTATTAAAGGCACAATAGAAATTGTGAAATTGGTCCTTCAGGCACAGACCACGCATCCTGAGGCTGTGCTTTGCTCTAGGCTTCCACTCAAATTCCACTTCATTGCTTCCACTAAAATCTTATGGTGATGAAAAAAATCAGGGAGATGTTTAATGTCTGTTGTGGAGCAACCAGAAGTATCTTATTTTAATGTTTTGGTTTCTTTGTGCTCCCTCGTGAGCTGTTGCACAAGAAATAACAATTTAGATAATCCCTGGAGTTTAGGACAGATTTAAAGGACTACTCTGTGCTGACAGCAAAAGCTGATTTCTTCCCTGGATCCAGATTTTATTGTCTTTTTCCAAGGGCTGTGTTAACAATATGTTGAACCAAACTCACCCTGTGCTCACCAGGCTGAGCTCCAGGCTCTGTTTGCAGCAGGAACCACTCCTGAAGTTGAAGTCCTTGCTGAAAACACCTGAGCACAACTGAGCCCCGTGATGACAAATGCTCAGAAGTGCCATCCTAATCCAAACGAGGCTTGTTTGGCTTTCCTGGTGTAAACCTTCCCCTGCCACCTTCGTGTACAGAACCTGTGACATTCCCAGAACACAAATATCTCCTTCTTTGTGCACCCCAGGAAGGGAAGTTTGCTACAAAAGGCTTGGATGCTTTTCAGACAGCCCCCCATGGGCTGGGATCCCGGGGAGACAACTGGCAGGCTTGCCCAGCTCTCCAGATGCTGTGAACACAAATTTCCTCCTATACACCAGAGACAACATGGTGAAGTACCAAGTAAGAGAATGCTTTGGTTTTAAATACTGACAGTGTACAATACATTCAATAAATTATTGGGACACTTTCTGTTCTCACATATTTTGCTCATATGACTGCTGGGAGAACCTCCAATTCTATATTAGACACATGATAATTTTCTTCCATCTTTTTTCCTTTTTCCTGATTTCAGCACCCTGAGGAGCTAGATATATTTACAACATATTAATCACAGCCTTCTAACACAAGTTATTACAGGTAAAAGGCTCCAGAATTAAGGGGTTTTCTATAAATGGCAGTCACAATCAGTGGAGGTGTTTATTAAGTCACTTCAGAACAAGTCCAACTCCTCCAGCTGAGAGGGCCTATGAGGTTTTAACAAATCAGTCTTTCACTGAAGGTGAGATGTCTGCTAATTGGTGCATGACATCCCCCTTTTAAGTCAACAAAACCATAACAAAAAAAATATGTAAGAACTAGTACTCAGAATTTCTTTAAAAGAAAATAATGTCTTCTGTCTCAATACACACCAAAATACCTACAGCCTCTGAATTTGTAAGCCTGTTGGTCTTTCCCATAAAATATAAATGAAGCAATTAAGGTCTTATCTTCAAAGGAAAAAAGAAAGAAAAATAGCTTTAGTTTCAAAGTCAACCACATAATACCTTTAAGAAGATGCTATCTTTGCATTTCTATGGCCAAGTTTGATAAAATCTTGTGCTTACATGGCATGTTGTACCAGAATATCACAAAGCATTGTGCAGAAGATGCCAGTATCACTAGTTCAATTAGCCAGAGGAAGTGCAGCATTTGTTGAAGTGATTAATTAATTGAAACTTGAAAGGCAGTTTAGGAATGAGGAATAAGACCCATCTTTTCCAGGTCTAGAACTATGACTTAACCATTGGGGCACTCTGCCCTTTATCAATGCACAGAGGGATGGAACAGTCACATCCTTGTTGTGTTTGTTGGTTGTTTGGTTCTCTTGGCACAGAAAATTTCAGCTACAGATCCTTCAAGTATAAAAGCTTCGAATTTCCGAGCGCACAGGAAAACTCGTTTCATTATCCACGGCCACCTTGCTGGAGCAGATCTCCCCTGGATAACAAGCATCTGCAGGGTAGGTACTGCTGTTTGACAGTCATTTTGTTGTATTTGAAAGTCTAAATATCCACATCTGGCTTAAAATTCCCATGAAAATTTACACCTCTGTTCTCTTGTTAATTCAGGGCATATATAAGGAGCACATAAGTCAGAATGATGCCTGGTTCCACATGACCACTGTCTTGTTCCTGGCTAGGAGTATAGTGCACTTCAGCTTTCTGCTTAATGCCCTTTTGCTGCATTCACCTCCACAGGGAAAGCTATAATAAATTGATTTTTCAATTCCTTGCTAATAATAAAGGGAGAAAAGAGAGTGAGTTTTCTCACCTCAGCAAAAGGTCACAATAAACGTGTCGGTTTGAGTGACACATTTGATCTAATAAAACCAAAAGGCTTTGTTCAGCAGATTGGTTTCATTCTACTCTGGCACATTTCAAAACTGAAATTGTTTCAAAATAAAATAAAAAATCAGAAGGTTCCATTGGCAGAAGTGTCTAAATAGAATATTTTCATTATAATCTATGAGTTTGAGGGCTGAACAATTCAAGCACAAATTTCAGAATTCTTTTAGATGAACCAAGAGTAAAAATTTTGAAGAATAAATCTTGGACCTACTTCAGTAACAGGGGTAGTGATATTAAGAGAAATTGGTACCTTAGAGCCAGCCAAGGCACCTGGAATGGAAAAAGAGCTGAAGGAAGCTTGTGAGTGTCCTCTAATCACTGGTTCCACTCTGCCTCCTTGTGTTGATCTTCAGCATCAGTAGGAATTACTGGAGATGTGTCGTCATCGGTCACACAAACAAAACAAAATACAGTTTACATATGCCCTGCTACAATTGTACTTAATGCCTGCTCCCTTCTCTGTTCTTTTCCTGTTCTCCACCAGTTCATGTTTCACTCTGAAGATGTGAACTGCATTCTGACAGACTGGAGGGGCGGCTCCAGTGGTCTGTACACGGACGCCGTCAACAACGTCCGCATTGTGGGGGCCGAGCTGGAGTACCTGGTGAACTTCCTCGAGGTAAAAAATATCCCTGGAATGTGCACAGTGCACATAAAGGTTGTGCTCAGAGTGACACCTTTACGTTTGATTCAATAGGAAGAACAAGAAGTACTCAGTAAAGCAGGTCCAATCCCTGGGCTCTAATCCCACACAAGTGAAAATATCTGCCTTAGCGTCATAATTGATTTTGAAAAACTAACATGACTTTTCAGCAGTTCAAAATGTTTGAAAATCTGAAATGAAAAATTAAATGCCCTAGATTTAGTGTATCAGGATAAGATGGTAAATAGCCATGAACACCTTGAAAATGAAGAGGGGTGGGATGATTGGGGAATTGCTTCTCTTTAGGTAGAGATCCCATCACCCAGAACTGTAACTTTCCACCAGGACACTCGTCCCCACTGCCCAGTGACCTGGCCATGTCCTGGCACTGCATGGGGACCTGCTGCAGTGTCACTTGTATACCCACACTGTTTTTTTCTCCTTTCCATAAACCTTCACAGAAAGATTATGGCTATTCTCCTGCCAACATCCATTTCATCGGCCACAGCCTTGGAGCACACGTTGCAGGGGAAGCAGGGAGGAGGAAGCCTGGCATTGGAAGAATAACAGGTACTGCAGCTAATTCAGCTGATAAAACTTTGTGTTTTTACCCAGCTTAAAAAGAACTGAAGAATCAAGAATCACTGCTGCTTTATAAACATACAATACAAAATGCAATGTGCTGGTTTGTCATAAATAACAGTGTCCAGCCAGCACGGTGGCACACAAGTCATGATACAGTCACACATTGCTTTCTTTTAAAAACTCACTATTTTCTGCTTTCCTTCTCTCCCAGTCAGTTCTTTTTCTCTGCATAGGCATTGCTTTGTCTAAGCCATGCACACAGTGAGCAGTCACACAAGCAGCTCAGGGAAACTGGGGTCAGAGCTGTGTTTCTTTATCTCCAAAGAGACCTCTCTGACACAGAAGTTAAGGAATACCATTTTCCACCAAGATATTCTGGAAAAAAAAATAGACTTCTTGCCAAATAAAAATTCATAAATAAATCTACGTGCTCAGAGTAACATATGAAGATTTCATATTTTTCAATAAAATTATGAAAAAAACCCAATAAACCAAATCTCTTCTTGTATCATTGTTCCCAAAAGTAAGCCAAGCAGCCTACACAATTTTACTGTGCTGCAATGCCTTCAGTCAGCTTTCTATTAATACCCTGCCTGTTTTTCTAGCTCTGGACCACAAAATGGATTTTTTTTTTAATGTAAAGGCAGAAATGTAATCACATATATAGCATATATAACCTGTGTGTGGTGATATACATATGGTATTATTTACTCAATCACTTGTATCTCCATTCATTTAGGTTTGGATCCAGCTGGGCCCCTTTTCCAGTACACTCCCACAATGGTGAGGCTGGATCCTTCAGATGCAATATTTGTTGATATAATTCACACTCATGCTGGTCATCTTTTCTTTGACTTTGGTAAGTTTTCATTGAAAGGCTGCCATTGGCACACAGGTTTGGCTACAGAACACCTGGGACTGATCTGCCAGGATCCATTGTGCATTTCAGCTCCAGGGATTCTCCAGACTTGTGGCCACCTGGATTTTTACCCAAATGGTGGGAAGAAGATGCCAGGATGCAAGCAGCTTCGTGTGCCTCCTGCAACTCGGGATGTCAATGACCTGATGAGAGGTAAATACATACATTAAAGAAGTAATTCCTCATTATAAGTTACAGGTGGATTCAAAGGCTAGGATAAGGTAAGACCTTTATATAGCTCAGATTTGGAATAGGGAGACAATGCTCAAAAACTGAACATTTAAAGCTGCCTCTAAAATACCCTCCAATTTTGTTTTGTACTAAACAAGGCAAATTCTAGATGAAAATTGCAGTTAAAGCATGCAAAATTGTGTATCACAAGCTTTCTAAGAGCCTTCCACTGTGCTGACAGGCTGATCTAAGTGGGAATTCTTCATATGAAGGACTGGTAAAATTTCATTCGTGGATAATCAAAAAATGAGTATTTTAAAATCTGAGCTCTCCTTCTCCCTAGGAAGATATTACTCCCAATATTAGTGGGATTCATCCATGCAATCAAGCTTTAGTCTCTTCAAAGGGAACAGTCCAAGGTCAGAAATATAAAAGATTGTAAAAGGAATGCTCCATTAGTAGTTCTTCAAAGAAAGTTGGACAGTTAATCAGAATTACCCTGGGATCCAGTATAATAGATCCACAAAATCCTGTCTTCTGATCCTAACCTAGAGAAATGAGAACATCTGTTATTCACAGCTAAATGGTTTGAAATCCCTACCACTAGTTAAATAGTTTGCTTTCAAAAATGCTCTCCCTTAGAACTGGTCGAGAACTTAATAACAAAGAAAACTGAAATCTGTCTGTGCTCAAAGTCACTTGGAAGAAAAACACTTTCCAATTGGAATGCATAAAAATGTCTGCATTTAAATTTTTAAAAATTAAATATTTTTTCCAGAGACATTTCCCAAGGCTCTTTGCAATGTTTTGTCATGAAGGAGAAGCTCAGCTCTATTGAACACGAGCAGATGGAGCTGGTTGTTCAAGCAGCTCTTAAAAATAGAGACAGCCTTAACTCCCTCTTGTTGGTTAAACCTTACTTTGTTTGGTAACCTCTCTATTGTTGGCTAATGTTTACATTTATGTAGTGTTTTTATGCATGAAGTGCTTTAAAAATAATATTTAGTGACTTTTTCTCTGCAGTTTTTGATGCAGTAGAAAGACGATAGGTGTTAAGTGAATTTGCCACTAACATAAATTGAGCCAGCTCTAAGAGCTGAGGGTTTAAAAGCACAAACCCTTCTGAATTAAAGAAGGAGCTACTAAGAAAACACACTCAGGAAGCCTTGATGATGTAGATTATTTCCAAGAAAAACATACAACAAGTACTTTTCAGAGAGATTTTCGTGTTGGGTTTCTTTTCTTTCCTTACGGAAAGAACAATGTGTCAACTGGTCAACACCAGCTGGTCTATCTTTAAGATGCATAAACATTGCCATTAGGGGAAATTTTGATTTCACTACAACCTGTGCTACTTGCAACTACTTCAGTGCCTCCCAGACTTCCCCCTGTGGTTTGGTGAGCCCCCACCACACACTGATGTGGAATAAAGCCCATTTTTATACAGACAACCTAACTTTAGTATATTGTGTTTTGATATAGGAGAGACCTCGGAATAAAGGAAGACAACATTTGCTATAGGGGACGTGTAAATATAACCCAAATAGCACTTCCTTCTTTCCTTACTGGCTGCTTATAAATTTCAGTCTGATGGGAAAAAGTATTTGTTTCAAAGAGTTCTGACAAAATCAAGGACACGCTGCCAAATATCCTGCTTTTCAGAGGATTTCACAGAATTGCTATCAAATGACTGCAGATTTTCTAGTGCTTAAGAACATCAAAAGCCACAGAATTTATAATAATTGCTAAAATTATCTTTAATTCTAGAAATTAGTAGAAACTGTGATTTTACAGAATACCATGTTTTGATAACTGTAAGAAAAGGAAAACTACTCCATTGTGAATTACTGTATGCTTTACAAAAACTGTAGCTATGAAATATTCCAGTCTTTGAAATATCAAAGGGGAACACTCTCAAATGTTTCTTGTTTCACCTTGTGCATCTCCAACTCTGTCAAAAACTACCTTTTTCCAACAGAAAATAATATATGCAGGCACAAGTACATTGTCTTACTACAAAACCAAATAATTCACAATGTAAATGTCTTTTAATCATTGCTATTTCTTTTACCTGAGACATCACTATATGTGCAAGTGCTTTTGAGGAAAAGAGACCCCCAAATGTTTCTTTGGCATGGACTTTATGTTAGTATATTGCTTTAACTACTTTTTATCTTTTGGGGTTTTTGTTGGGGTTTTTTTTGTTTGTTTTTGGGGGTTTTTTGTGGGTTTTTTTTTGTTTTGTTTTGGTTTGGTGTTTTTTTTTGTTTTTTTGGGGTTTTTTGTTTTTTTTCCCCAGCATACAGATCTTTTGGATGTGGACATAAAAGAAGTCTCAGGTATTATGCTGAGAGCATCATCACTCCAAATGGATTTGTTGGGTATCAGTGTGAAACATACCAAGAGTTTGTGTTGGTAAGTACCAGGTCTGGATTTATCTGAGAGCCTACAGCCCTGCCCTTCTTCTTTTAAAGATTCCTGGGACAACTTCGACACTTGGGATCATGGGATATGGGAACAGGGGACATTCAGAACTACCTTTATTCAGATCATTCCCAAATCCAAGCAATTTCACAATAGAGAAGTGATGATGATTATTTAGCCTTTTTTCATCAAATGTACAAATAGCCAAAGGTCCACAAATACCAGTTTGAACAGAACTTCCCATATATCAATACTGAGCTACCTAACACAGCAGAGCTATTTTTTCCCACTGCAATTAATCTGTTTTCATGCTTGTCTTGTTTTACTTTCTTTTAATGGATGTCAAGGTCTTGATCTGATTGTCTGATCTGTGTAGGTAGATAGAATTCATTAAGACTCTGAATGGGAATAAAGGATGAAGAGCTGACAGAACAAATCCCAGATGGAAAGCCCAGCCTTCCTAAATTCCAGTACTCCTAAACATAAATATTTTTACCACATGAGTGAGACATTCAGCCAGACCCCCTTGAAAACGTGGTTATCCATCCTATAACCAGCAGAAAGCCTTCCACTGGATGCTATGAAAGATGAATATACTACCTGGATTTTACAGATCAGGTAGCAAGGCACAACAGTTTTTATGGTACTTACTTATGGTCCCTGCAAGACCACAAGGAATTAGGTCAGATTTCAAACCTGTTTCTCTCTGATTTTCCACAAGATGAAATAAGATGATTGGGCACCTCAACTCCTTTTTCAACCACAATGATAAATACTGAAGATATGATCTGAACTGAGAAGTGAGGACCTACAAAAACCCAAACAAACAAAAAAACTGGGAAAAAGCTGAAATACCCTAATTTCCTAAAATTTAAGTGAGATTAAAATAGATGATGTCTTATAACACACATTTTTATTTTTCCCTCCAGGGAGACTGCTTTCCATGTCCAGAAGAGGGATGCCCACTGATGGGTCATCATGCTGATAAGTTTTTACGTAAAACTGAAAAAGAACAGCAAAAAGTTTATTTAAACACAGGGCCCTCCCCTCCATATGCTCGTAAGTGCTCATTTTGTGGTGTATTCTAAAGTGGCAATGAATTATGTGTGAAAGGGGACCTGCAGAGCTGCTGCAGTTAATGAGTTGCTCTCAATAAAACATCTAGAGTTTTAGGTGTTAGGAACATGCAGTACCAGCATTATTTTGGAAAGCTGAGATAATTGTAAAAACAGATCAAATGATGCTCATCTTTGGATTAAACTTGGTTATTACATGATGGCTTCAAAAATTCTATAAAGCTGAAACTGGGAGGAATTTTATGCTGGAAGTGCATAATTTAAAATTTTAAAATGTTGCATTGTTTTTATTAGCAAAATTTATAAAATTGGACCATTTCAGGATATTTTTGCCAAGTTCATCAAGTCAAAATGGCAGGAAGGAACAAGAAATACAGCCTTAGTTGTGATTAACGTAGAAATAGCCATAGGACTGGAGAAATTGGAAAATTAATAAATGAACTGCAATTTATCACAGGTGGTTTTTGCTTATAAGCATGTTTGTGCAATCCTTTTCTCTCTCTTAGAGACACTGAAACATGTAAGAAATTTAACCCTTAGGAAAGAAATCTCCTTACAACTGTAATCCGTTTGATTTTGCTTCCCAAGGCTGGCGAAAAGAGATACATGTCAAAGTATGTGCAACAGAAACCATGAAGGGAAATATAGATGTAGCCTTGACTGCAACTAATGGGTTCAGAAAAAAATATACCATTGACAAGTAAGTGTAATGTGGCTGCTGGAAACGTGGCCCTATCACTGTCAACACATGGAATGTACACACAGCTTTTTTTACATGCATCACCTTGTTCTGTGTGGTCTGTGATTTACACTGGTAATAAAGCAGTGATCAGTGATGGAAGCTCCCTGTGCTCCAGACTGTGGTAAAAATCTGCTGGTCCCTCTGATTTTCTTTTGTTTTCTGAGGTTGATGTTTGACTAGCAAAGTGGGCAAGAGCTCTGTGGCTGCTGCTGGACTCAAACATGATTTGGTGATCTCTGAGAAGACAAAGAGCTCAGTGATGTACAGTCATCTAATTATCCCCTCCTCTGGGGAATATGTGAATAAGAAAGTTGCAGCTTGCCCATGAACCATGCTGGAATATGGGATTCCTGTCCACTCAGCCTGGCCTTTTCCAGTAAATGTGAATTTAAATCTCAATAAATAGATGCCAATCAGCAACCCAGCTTCAATATTACAAAATCAATCTTTTCTGTGTTTGAACACAGTCCCATTACTGGTCTGTACCAGGAGTACCTTTGGTTATAAATACACCACTGCAGCAAAAAACCCACAGATAATTTAAATGTTAATGTCACATTGCAATGTGTGTTCTGTTAGAGTGAACAGTGATAGCACAGAAGGCACAAATGTAAACTATAATTTTCAATTTCCTTCATGGCTGAGAGCAACCAGAAAAACTGAGAGAACTTTTTGACTTGGATTTATTTGAAGATAGATCCTATTTTTCAAAAGTAATGTATAGAATGAATCATGGTGATACTGAAAAAGGCTGTGCTAACTGATATGTGTTTTCATCCTGAAAGGCACAGGAATTTCAGCAAATCCATAAAAAAAGCTCATAAAATTCCAGCAGTAGTATCCAAACCCTCAACTCATGGCACCTCAGCTCATCTCCCTTATTCCCTATGGTTAAGTTTTCTTTTCCCCCTCATTTGTGTAGAACATTGAGCATCACTTCTGTGCTTTTCTTTTGCAGGGGAACTTTCAAACCAGGCAACACATACTTGAACTACATTGATACAGAAATTTCTGGGAACATTTCAAAAGTTGAGTTTCTCTGGAAAAAGCAACTAGGCCATGCAGACAGAGGCTGCATGGGAGCTGAAGAAGTCAGAATAATATCTGGGGAAAGCGGGAATATGTAAGTACATAATCTAGATGCAAAGGTAGAAGTTTTTCTCCTAAATTGCATTTTCCTGTGCCCAGCTCTCCATTGGCACATAGCACACAGAAACAGCTCTGCAGAGTTCAACCCTGCACCTGCCTGGGCGGGGGCTTCATGCTGACTCCAGCCTGAGCCAATGGGCCTGGCAGCCACTGGCATCTGCAGGACATTAGCTACACTTTTGGAACATACCTCTTGTTTAGTTTTAACCAAAATGAATCCAGTTTATGCATCCACCTTAATGGATTCTTTACCTCTTTTCTGCCAAGGTTGGGATTAAATCACTAGATGGTATTTGTTGTTTGTTCATTCTTATCTACGTTACAGTCTCACAAGCTGTGAATTCTACAGTACTTTAACAAGGTAAAAAATGGCAATGTAGCTATCTCTACAAGTCTTTTTAAGGATAACCTGTCCAATTAAGAAATTACATTAAGTTATTTTTACTTTTAACCCAATAACCAACCACCTGTGCCCACGATGTGGACTTTTCTATCCTATTACACAAAACCACCCAAACCCATGGAGAAGAAGGTCAAGAAGAAGGTCAAGAAGAAGGACCAGCCTCTGCCTCAAAACCTCCATCTTGCTTTATATATATTACTATATACTAAAACCTTAAACTCTAAGTTTTCCACCCTGTGATACACACTTCTATTCAAACTCCACACCCACAATCCCAGTTCTATCATTCCATTTTGGAAGCCTTCTCCATGACCTCAGGTCAAATGGAGTGTTCTTTTGGGAGTCAGTAACTGTCAGCACAGAAAGTCCAGGATTCCAACACATCCCACTCTGTCATGTAAACCAAAGTGTGGTAAGTGGGAGAAATGGAGGGAGAAATTCCCTTCAAAAGCATGCCCATGCCCCAAATGAAAATGCTAAGGGAGCCTGATCAAAAAGGCAAACATATCCTAAAAGTTAATCATTAGTCATGAGCTAGTAAGTCTTAAAAAAAAAATTGATAACACACTTTATGTTCTCAGTCTACTGGAACTTATGCTTTGGCCTAAGATGAAATAAAAAACCAGGGTTTATGTAGATTATGTTGGCTAGCTGCTATGAAAATGTCCCATTTTACTGACAAATATTTCCCTAAACTCTGCCCTCTTCCCAGGTCTGTGTTCTGTGGGTGTGGAACTGTGCAGCCCAGCATGTGGCAAGCCCTGGCTCTTTGCTGAGGGCCAGGAGTGCCCAGCCCTCACCAGCTGCGAGAGGACACTGCAGTCAACAACAAAGGATCAATGAGACTCCCTCTCAGACTCTGAGAAATTTGTCCAGTCCTCTATAAAAGCTCAATTTCCAACTCAGTGCTGTCACCTTCTCTCCATGCAGGGCAGCTACACTCCTGTGAACTATGGTTACAATGACAGAAAACACATATGTTACTAATAACCAGCTGGACTCTTTTCTCTACCTGAAACAGGCATCTCCTTTACCAAAATTGCATTGTACTACTGAGGAACTTGAATTTCCTGGCAGCCTTCAATAAGAAAGTATTTTCTCTTTGCCAGTGAAACTGAATTCTCCACCTCTACTTTGCCTTTCTGACAATGCTGAAGTCAAACTTGAGCTGCATCATTTGGATTAGCATTGGCACTCCAGATTTGTCAGCATTTTGATTGTACTGGTTAGAGAAAGTAGACCACTAAGACTTATCAGCATCAGCCAAAATAAGCTAAAGTTCCTTTGTTTCAACACAGGCTACCCACAACTATTCTTTCATTTTTAAATTACCAGCTGTTGTCTGAGGCATGCAACAGATTTCTGCCTCTGATGTGAGGTTTATCATTGGGGTGCAGAAATTAAGTGTATCAATTACATTGGGCAACTCTGTTGTGTCCCATCCTGACGAGCAGCTATTCCAGAATGCTCCCAGTGGGGTTCACCAAAAGGTGTTGGTGTGTTGCACAAGGCTGAATGTGGCTGATGAACAGGTGTGTTTCAAATTATGCAGCAATACTTTTGAGATGTCAGAACCCTGTCACCTCCTGTGCAGTTTGCTGAAGGAGCTTGCTCAGGGTATTTGATAAATCAGGTGTCTCAGAGTCACTCTTCAGTACCCTTCATTTATCATCTCCCCACGAGCAGGGTGGGACCAGAAACCATCTTGAGCAGGAAATTCATCCTTCTTTACCCCTTAAGGAAACTTCTTGGCAAGATTTCCTTCTTGAGCAAGAAGGGGCTTTCCTCTCCTGTGCTCCCCTGGAGATATAAAACAGCTCCAGGTACTTCTACAGAGTTTGGAAATATCTGTGGCTGGTAATTACAACATCTTGAACATCCTCCATAAAACATGCATGGCTCTCTGCCCCAGAGTTGCACAAATTAAGGAGACTCTATTATTTTGCCTTTCTTACAATCAGGAACTGAAGAAAACAAACGTAAATATTTTCCTCAGGATCACAAAATACCTGTGCAGCAGGGGCAGGAACTGATTAAGGAGACTATTATTTTGCCTTTCTTACAGTCAGGAATTGATGCAAAACAAATGCAAATATTTTCCTCAGGATCACAAAATACCTGTGCAGCAGGGGCAGGAACTGGATTTTATGGCACAAACAGGAGTGTGATCTGTGCCATGTAAGGCATCACTCCTCACAGGAAGGAAACAAAGTCCAGTTGGACTCAAAACTTCTTCAGAGCTCATCCTCTCCTGTCTCCATACTTGACTGTGACCCTTTTGCAATTCTGAAAACTAATTTGATGGTTTTATGAATAATAAATCATATTCTTTCAAAAATACAAGTTTCATTTTGTTTAATTTTAAGCTATAGATTTCAACAGTGTTCTGACAAAACAAGACAGTTTGTTTAGGCTGCTGACTTGTGCTACAAGTATTGTACAGTTGATCAGATCATTGAAAAATATGCATTTTCTCTCCCAACTTTTTCAGCTAAAACTAGAATATTATATTAATTTCTCCCCCTTGTGCTGTTCTGTTTTCATTTTTGTCATAAGCTATTTCTTGAGTTAAGTTTTATTCTTTGGTATAGCAGACATCAACACTGCCTTTTTTTAATATATTTTCAGACAGAACAAGAGAGATTTATTTTTATGAGATAAAGGTGAAAAAACCCACACTGACAGCACCTGTGTGTTGCTGGTGGCAAAAAATCTTCCTCCTTGTTTCTTTCTGTATGCAAAATTTAAAATTCTTCATAGTATGAAATTTTTTGATACTATCACTTCATATTAATGGTGCTAGTCCAAATAATGCAAGGGTTTGATATTTCATGAGAAAATCTGCCTTTGACAAAGCTCTGGACAGGCAATTCTTTTATATCTTTAAAACAAGGTAAGCCATCTTTCCAGAACAATTTAAACTGAATCTTTGAAATGTCAAGTGAGACACTCCACTCCATATGTTTGGCTGTCATGTGGAAAGGTAGTGCTTTTTAAAATCAAACATGCCTCATTTCTCCAGGGATTTAAAGGACATATTATGATTTGCATTCCATCTTTTACATTATTTAAATATTGTGCCAAATTATAAGTGCTTCAGAATTACAATATAAATTTAATTTTATACTCCTTAAACGTGTGTTCACTACAAAAATTATGCCAAAGGTAAATTGATAAGAAAGCCATTATGAAGCTTTCAGCCTCAGGCACTTTGCTCTCTCATGGCACTCTTTTGACAATGGGGTATCATAAAACAAAATCTCTTAAGCCTTTTATGGAAAAAGGGACAGCAATAATTAGCAATACAAAATAGGAACTATCTGGTCCACTTACATTGTCTTTATGTACTTTATATGTGACAGAAAAATAATTTTGGAAGAAAACATGTTTGTCATAAAGGCATATGTGCAGGTATGCTGAAGAGACAACAAGAGCCATTTTTGTCAGAATTCTCTGATAACAAAAATAAAATACTCTACTGCATAGCACAGTAGTTTCTCTCCTTTCCAAAATCACAGCCTATCAAAATGCCCCTCCTAAATGTTTGTGAGCCCAGAACTAAAATAACAACAATAATATAAATTAACTAAATAGGAATAATAGACAGAGGCCTCAGTGTTCAGACTGGGCAGTTTCTCTTTTCCTACTTTTGATCCTATCTTAATCTGTGACTTTTTAGATTTTTTTCATGCTACTGTAATCCACTACAATACATTGATAAAAACCTTGCAAAATAATAATATATAATATAAATAATAATCCTCACAAAACCAGATGTTTGCAGGAATAAGCCTTCCAAGATATTCTGGTCTTTCATCTTTGTCTTTTTTGGTTTTTTTGTGTTATAACAGGTTCCAATTCTCCAATATCTGCCTGTTATACTGAAGACTGAAAAAAAAAAAAAAAAGACCTTTGGAAGGTAACTTTTCTGAGACTTTAATGCAGTCAGGGTATTTTGTGAAGCCCCAGGGTCTCACAGTTGTTTCACAGGCTGCTGGGACATAAGCAAAACCAAAAATCTTTGTACATGCCCAACATTTATTTGAGTTATTCTTCCATAACCACAGCTGACTGGAGTTGGAGTTGCCACTAAACAACTGACCTATCTCTGACCTATCAGTAAATCTATCTGGGTGGAGTATCTACAAAACTTGGGGCTTTCTTATTCTCCTTTTGTCATTACACAGTATCAGAGACTTCGTAATTTCAAGTAATCTGTACTTCAAGTTGCTCTGTTTCCAGTAATTAGGGAGCAGAAGTTGATAGCATGCCCAAATCTATTTCTGTGGCATATTTCCAGGACAAAACAGAGCCAATAATCTTTATCTTCAAATATCAAGGATATAAAAACTTCCAGAAAGAGCCGGCCTCATCACCAGCCTTACACAAAGAGAGCACGCCCACGTTGCTGTGCTGGGGAGCACAAACCTCTCCCAGCTGCCACAAGGGTCTTGCAACACAGGAAGCATAAGCAATATGTGACAATACAGGCTGCCAGTGGTGTCATCCCAGAGTTTTTTCCCTTTTTTGTGACACTAGGAAAACTTGGGGCCAAGTGTTGATGTTCAGAGCTCTAGAGGATCAGCTTTGTTCTGAGCCACTGGGCTGTAGGTGAGCTGCTCAGAGCCATGTTTTTATCAAAATACATATTCAAGATTTGCATCTGCCTTTCAATTTCCAAGGCAAATCTATAGTTATTCCCTTTATCTCACCTGATTTGTTCAAATAAGTTCAATACTCTAGCATTAACAGGAGAGAAATAATTCAGAATAATGAACTTCACCCTCTTCCCTTTAATTCTGCCCATTACTTGTAAAGAAATCTGGCTGTCCCTAAGGACCCCCCTCTGCCTTGGGTTACTTTCATCATCTGCTCTAAAACTCCCTTTTCTAGTGCTATTTGCTTCAAATACTACACTCCATAAATCTCCAGCTCACAAAAACAGTAGTTAATATTAGCTTTGCTTGCTTTGAGTGATTTAATTAACAGCCAGCATGTATTATGGAAAATTATAAATATTTATAACTTCCAAAATATTCTTTTATTTGTTGCTGTATGATACTGGAAAGGATATACTAAGATAAATTGGCTTTGTCTCAATTCAATTTAAAATTTGTTCACTTGACCAGAAAGAAAACACTGGAGTTAAACAATAGAAATATGAAGCACATCTCTTATTCTTGGCTCTGGCACTCAAATACTGCAGGTAAGATTCTCCAATGAGCTGAGTGGTCTTTGTCTATGCATATCAGCAATTCTCTAGAGAATGGAATACACAAAGCTACTTCCAGATGACCTCCATCCAAGCTAAGAAATTCATTAACCATCTTCAATCTAAAATTGAAATGAGAGCAAGAAAAATGTTGCTTTTACAGTTTTATACACTTATCCTTCTATGAAAGCCATGGTAATTTATATATTGCTGCACTTGAAACACAGTTTCTGAGATTCCTTTGCAGAACATGATTCTCTGTGAGTGTTTTGATTCTCTTTTTCCTACCTATGTGAATGCCACTATGTGAATACCAAAAAGGATTTATGTCCTTGATAATTCTCAAGCTGACATTTATAAAACCACTGGATGTGTTCACTTGCTCATTGTCAGAGGCAGCTGCAAAAGCCAGACTTTTCTTCCTGCCCACTAAAATCTGTTTTCCTGTTAAGACATAAAAACAGGCCCAGAAAAAATTACTATTCCTAAAAGGAGCTACACCTCAAAAACCCACAATATGGGTTAGCAAGTACTTTTGCTATTAATTCTGATTTGTTGTACTGA